CTCCCAGGAGATGCTCAGATTTCTGGTTCCCATTTGCTAATGGGTAAGTGGGGGGGAGAGGAGAAGGAGGATCAGGGAAGGTGGGATATTTGATTCTAGGCCATGTAGCAGTAGGTTCACTATTGCTAAGCAGGGAGGCAGGATGGTCATTTATTTTCACAGCGTCCTCAGTTCCAACATGGCATGGATCTCAGGAGACACTGCTGGTTCTCCCCCTGGAAGGGCTGCAGTGGGCCACACTACCGCCGCTTACCAGGGAGGGGAGGTGCTGGCTTGGCTTCCCAGAGTCCTAAGTTCCCACATGGAAAGTCCTTCTCCATTGTTGATGGGAGTGTACACTGATGCAACCACTGTGGAAATCAGTGTCGCTATTCCTCATAAAACTAGAATTAGAGGTCCCATTCGACTCAGCTGTTCCCCTTCTGGTTATTTTCCTGGAAGAATTAAAAATATCATACTACAGTGATATATGTGCACCCATGTTTATAGCAGCACAATTTGCAATATCTAGATCTTGGAAAAACCTAAATGCCCACCAACTGAGGAATGGATAAAAGGATGCGGTGTTTTTAAACAATTGAGAACTACTAAGCCATAACAAAGGATAAACTGGAGACTTTTATAAGTAAATGGATGCAACTCAACACAATATTCATAGCTGAAATAAATCAGACTTGCATGTGTAGATATCTTATCATCTCCCTAGTGTAGGAGACTAAATGAGTAAAGAAGACCCAAAATTTATATAGATATTGTGAAAGAGAAAGAAACTACTCAAAAGGAATGAGCTGGATGGGGGAAAGGAGAACAGAAGAAAGGGAAAAGAAAAAAATATATATACAAGATAGCTAAAATAATTATGCTACTAATTTCTTTTTAGTTCATTGAAAAGAATGGCTTGTGTTTATATTGTTTGATCAGTTTTGCATGACTATGTCATAATCTGAGCAACTACTTTGAAGATAGTAGTATAGAACATATTAATCATTGTTAATTTTCTGTTAATCATTGTTATGGAATTCTCTATCGTTGCTTTTTCTCTTTAAAATAAAACCCCCAAAACTCCCCACAAATTTATTGTCTTAAGTTATTAAAATCTATAGTCCAAATTAGATCTCGCAAGATGAAAATTATGGTGTTCATTCTGGAGGTTCTGGGTGACAATTCACTTCCTTGGCTTTTCTAGTATCTAAAGATTTGGTGCATTCTTGGCTTATCTTCTAGGCAAGCAGTGTCCCTTTGAGTCTTTCCCACAATTTGTGGCTCTGACACATACTTTTTTAGTTGTCTCTTCTGTGTATGAAAATCCTTATGATTACATTGGGCTCACTTGAATAATTGAAGATAATTTCCCCAACTGGAGAGCCTTAACCTAATTCTATGTATAACATCGGTTTTGCATGTAAGGTGTGTAAGGTAGCATACCCACAGGTTCTGAGAACGAAGACAGATTTTATTGGGAGAACATTATTCTGCCTATCACAGTCCCTGATATTCACTGTAAGTTATCATTAAAGTTTGGCTATTATCATTAGAATGATAGATTACTTCTTAAACATTCTTAAATTGTTCTTTTATAGAACCAAAACACTTCGGAGCCATATAATACTCTTTTTTAAAAAATTTTATTTAAAAGGAAAAGGAGAAAAAATAAAATAAAACAAAGTGGTGTAAGGGTACAAGTAATACAGAACTACAAAAAAAAAAACAGTAAGAAATCACTAGTTAATAGATTACACCTTATCATCTTAGAGATAGTTGCTCAAGTCACAGTATCAAAGCATACAAAGTGGACATTCAAACAGTGAGACTGTAAACAGTTGTGTTCAATGATCCCACAAAAAACATTAATATGGTCAGCTATTTAACACCCCTAAACACACTTGCAGTTGTATCCTTTAGAGCACTTTTTTCCCCTCTCTTTTTTTACAACACAATTTACACATTTTGGGTTTTATTACTCCTTAGTTCTTATTGCCTTTTTTTTTTGGAAGAGAATAAAGTCAAATATGGCAAAACAAAGCTGTCAGTCAAAACCAAGGATAGACATAGCACGTGATGTAAAAACAGAGTACAAGGTTATCAACAGTGGTTACCATAGTGTCTCTTGTTTCCTTAAGAATTGTCTATCTCATTAGGTATTATAAAGTTGAACAAAACAGTAGAGAACAAGATCAATAAAACCTAAACCTTGTAAACATTACAGGACTTCCAAAGGAGATAATAGTCAAACCAGAATGGGCATTGTAGGTATAATACTCGATACAGCTGAGCATCTACCAATGGCTTTAACATTAAACAATAAAACACAGATTTTTACTCCAAAAAGTGGACCAAGTGATTCACTTTTGAAAATTTAACCATTTTGTGATGCTGGAATACACGTATGAAAAGGAAATTGTTATTTATTTAAAACAACCTCAGCAGCCTTGAGGAAGGCACTTTCAATATTGCTACCACCATTGCAGAGTGACAGCTAACAGCTACTAAGGAAATAATTGTGTGCCGAGAACTTTTCCAAGGGTTTATATAGGTGTTGGCTAGTTTCACCCCTCCAACAACTACCTTGTGAAGGAAGACCTTTCATTTTACTTATTTCAAGGCAGGTTAGAGTTTACTCAATGTTTGAGGGCTCGTAAGGCACTGAAATCCAGGTGGGTAGGCTACAGGATCTGTACTTTTAACCTCTGCTTCATAAAAACAGCAACACAGAAAATGATGCCGTGACATTAGAAGAATGCACATTTTATTGTGGGCTAATATCTTTCAGCAGTTTACGTAGCTCACCCTGCTGCAGGCTAGCAGGATTTAGTCTTACTGAGGTCTCGTTTTTGTGCGTTTAAAGAATGCATAATAGATGACTAACTGTGTTGGCTGTTGGTCAGTTCCAGAGATGCTCAGAAACAAATTTTCCATTGAGTTTAGGCTTTTGAAAACCTGTCCATTAGACTTCTTCTCTTTCCTGTCTTTCTGCCTGTTTCCCTTTTTCCCTTCCTATACTTTAGGAACAATAGCTACAACAACCATTATATATTACCTTTCTGTACATTTTGCCACATTATTTTAACAGCATTTTAGAGCAAGGAAGCTGCCTTTGCTTTTTAAGAAAGTCATTATCCAAGCCCCTGTTTCTAAAAAAGCCAGGCTTTCACTGGGTAAACAGATGCTATTACCACTTTTATCACTATGTTTAGGTTAAAAAAGATAGAGGCGAGATTATTACTAAGGCCAGTTATTACAAACAAAATGCTAAGAATAACTGTTGAAATATTTCAGATGGGAAGGACTCACTTCGAAATAATTACTCTGTGGTAAAAATGTGACTAGCTGTTGATCTAGAGGGAGGCGGATTGTAAAGTTCAGCAATGATAAATAAATCAACTTAATGGGCTTTATATATTCGTTACAGCCACATAAGAGAAATATCATATTATGTAAGAAATCTCTATGCCAAAATAACCAAGGGAGAGGGCCACTAACAAATAGATGAAAATGACTTTATATGTAAAAGATTAATAATTTTTCTATGTGAATGAAAAATATTTAATAATCATCACATTCAAAACTTTTTGAAAATGAAAACAATTAAATGATGAAGAGATTTTATCCAGTGCATTTGATACTTAGTCCTAATTTAAGAGTTTCAAGAGTGTCTTACCTGCATCACTAGGTCAGGATTTAGCTTTTGTGCTCCAGCGTTTTATTTAGAAGCCTCTGGCAGATGAAATTGTTGACCTTAGTTAGCTAGAAAGCAGCTGCTTTTCTATTTTGATTTGAAGTTAATGTTTTCCAAGTGTCAAGCCCGTGCAGAGAAATTTTTTCCGTAGTCTGATATTGAACATTTATTTATATTTCTTTTGTTTTTAATGGCCCATGGGTCTGTCTAGAAAAGTGAGAGCCAGTTAGAACATTCACTGAAAATGTTTTTAGAGGAAAAAGTCTCTGCTTGATACTTCTGTGGATGGATCAATATCATGGTCTTTTTTTGGACATTTGCAGCTACAAGGCTATACTTTGGAAGGACAGTCTGCTGCCTATCTTGACTGGGTTAAAACTATACTCTTTCTTTGAAAGTTTTTACTTTCAAAGTTTACTTTTTAAGTTTCTACCTAAAAAGAAAGCTAGGTGACTCTAAATATTTTTAGGTTTGACTCTTTGTTTTGTCTGCTTCGATGGAAACATTGATAAAGTAGCCAATTAATAATATTTTAATGACAAATTTTTATTTTGTGTAATTCTATTTTCTAGCTTCTGGTGAAATGTGAAAATAATTTACTCTCTTCCCTAAATTGTGTTTATTTTGTGCTTTTTGGTTCTGTGATTTAAATTTTGGTGAATGTCTGAGCTCTACTATTTTTGTTTGTATGTTCTGTATAGTTCCCTAAAGTTTAGTGCAAACTCTGGGGGAAATACAAGCTGAAAGCAGGCCTCTGGCCTCCTTTGGTGGCAGGTCCACTATGGAAATATGCAGCGTGTGTCTTGGGTTCCGTGGAATACAGCGATGGGCCAAACTGGGAAACTGTGTCCTGGGTCCCAGAAGGACAAGGGAGTGACAGAAATAAGAAACTGAGCAAGTGGAAAGGGAGCGCTGTAAGCTTTGCCATTTTTTTTAAACTGAGTCCCAAGTGAGGTAAAATTGTCTTAAATTTTGGGGGGACAACTAAATCTAGGTGGGACATTCTGTCTCGAAACCTTAAGTTTTCAAGAGAGTTATAGTTTTTCATAGAGCAATATGGTTTTTGGTAGCAGAGAAATTTTCCTGGCTTTCTTCGTGAAAGAGGACGTTGTAGTGGCCATGATCTTGCTATTTGTATTTGCGTCTGTTGAGTGACACACAGAAAAATAATTCTAGTGGTTCCTTAATTTTTTTTTTTTATTTAATCTCAGGCTGAACTTAGGATCTTTCTGCTTCAGCCTCCCAAGTTCTGGGAATACAAACATGTGCTACCATGCCCAGCTCTAGTAATGTCTTAAAACATTTTTTTTTTTCCTGCCCTCAGGGACATTAAAAACGACTTATTTTAAATCAAATGGAAGTGAACCTTTGGTAACCGATGGTGAAGTTCAAGTGCCTGATATCCTTGTAAATACAGTTTATAACGCGAGTACAGTGACACCTGCTGTACAAACCACTCAACACCCTCCAGCTCAGAATATGGAAGCGCCTCTCCTGGAGGACCAACGTCACAGGAATACAAGTAAGTCTGAGGTACTGAGTGAGAGGGGCCTTTAGTGTGTTTTGAACCCACAGGTAGGTTTTAAATTGTGGCAACCAGGGCTCTGAACCCCTTACTATGTGTACAGCTCCACTCATCTGGGAAGCCTGGCCATGGGCCCTCCTTGTAACCATGAAATGCTGGTGACCCTTCTGTCTAGATAGAGACTGGCTAAGAAATGAGAATGCGGCCAGGCCTTCAACATTTCTGCAATATACTAATATGTTGCTCGCCTAATATGAAAATCTATGGAAATGTTTTAAAGTTGTTTATTTGGCTGGGGATTTAGCTCAGCAGCGTAAGTGCCTGCCTTGCAAGCCCATGGTACAAAAAAAAAGAGTTGTTTATTTTGAGATGATTAAGTTAGTAAGTCAAGTTACCTATAGGTTCTTTGTTGGAGGGTTCCCCATTACATAATGGATGGTGAGTGGTTTAAGAGGTTCATTCTCCTATTTGCTTTGGAGGCATCCATGTGCTCTTTGCATTTTGTTTTTCTCGCTCTTTAATTGGCTGTGAAACTTAGTTTACATGTTGGTGACTGAAAATCACACCTTGAGAAAAATGATATGTGCAAAACTCTTCAGCATAAGGACACAGGGAAGACTTTGTTAGCTACAACAGAAAATTGACTGGGAGAAAATGTTCTGTGGGTGAGAGTCCGTGACGTAGTGACACATCACAGTCTGGAATGGGACTCTGACCTTTGACAGCCCTCACATCTTGAGTAAAATCACAAAACTTCTAGACTCCTTGGTGGGAGGGGATTTGTGTGGAAAGTGCCAAAGAACTTCAGTTCTGATCCAAACAGAGACGGTAAAAACTGAGACCTTTCCCTACAGTGGTTTACCTCTTGTTTGTCACTTACCAAGATGTTAGGGTTGTATGATTGGAAATTATACAAACTCCATCCATCCATGGTCACTTTCTCTCGTTTCTTGTTCTTGAAACACACACTGGGACATCACATCTTAAGTCTGAGGCAGAGTATTTATTTTTATTGTGAGCCAGAAAGCGAAGGATTAAATTTCCCTCTAACTATCACAGTATGTTTGCTAGTGTTTGGGAAAAAGCAGGGTTAATCTATTTCTCCAGCCCCCCAAAAGAGAGATCGTCTGGGTTCCACTGTTTTGCTGCATTAACTGTGTCTGATGTTTAGTGTTTACTAGTGGTTCACAGGCAGGCTAGTTCATTATCTGACAGTAATATCGCAAACCAGAATTAGGCCAAGTTAAATTTATTGTCCTCCCGAGTTTAATTCTGAGGTTTTATATTTTAGTCATGTATTAAGCACTTCATTATTTGTAAGGACAGTGTTTTCCATCAGAAGTGCAGAAATAATTTAAATAAAAACAGCCAAGTTAATGTGGTTGCAATTACAATTGTTATTTTCTTCTACTAAGTGGATTTGTCTGTAGTTTGAAGTCCCATCATTTGTAAAGATTCAAATAAGGTCAACAAACATGTACCCTGGAGCCTACAGAGACATATGGTGGTTGTTGCTCAGTTTGGAAGTTTGATAGAAGTCTGACTGACTCTTTTTTTTCATTCTGAGGCTAGAGTACTCCTTGAGAATATGTGTATGATTTGATATTGAGAGGAAATTTGGGTGAAATTATAATAATTAAATGGAAAAGGCTGAAACCTTCGCATGTGTGTGAGTCATGTTTTTAATGCATTTAGTATTTAACATTGACTTTTGGTGTTTGTCTGTATAAACTCTCAGTATACTATCCAGATTAACTGAAATTATTTATTGCAAGGAATGTGAGGATTTTTCATACATTTCACAAATAGTGCTCGCCTGTGATAATAGAGCTTTTGGTAATTTTCAGGACATGTTTGAATATTTTCTTTGTGATTCTTACAGTTAACTAGTAAGATTCTCAGGACAGGTTTATATCGTAGCATTGTTCGAGGTATGAGATGGAGTCAACATACGCAGTTATCATTTGCTTAGTCATTGGTAGACATGGAATTGAGTTTCAGATCTTGAGATCCTCTGGTCTGTACTTTTTCAAGTATTTTACACTTCTTTACATAATTTCATTAGTTTCTTTGGAGCAGTCAGAATGTTACTGAATAAATTTTAAGCTCCAGAAGAGTAGAAGAAGCAGTCTGGATTTTTTTTCTTTTTTCCTTTTCCTTTTTATTGGTACCGGGGATCGAACTCATGACTGCTTGCTTGCAAGGCAGGCGCTTATGCCGCTGAGCTAAATCCCCAGACCCGAAGTAGTCTGTTTTTATTGCCGTCTGTGCTGGCACTGAATAAAAGAACTAGTTGAATGACTAAGGATACTAAAAACTTTTTTCATGTCATTTACCACTAGTGATGCCTGGTAATACTTTTTTTGTCACTTGACATTTATTTGATCAATTTTTAAAAAGTATTGTGTAATGTGTTTTTTATTTTTATACTACCTTATAGCACAAAACTTGTTTTTATCTCTCTGTCCCTTTATTATGATCTTCCAGTTAAGATATTTGCATTCCTGGTATTCGTAAAAGTTGTTTAAATCTACATCAGCCCATACTATGGCCAGACTTTCTGTCTTACTTAAATTTCTTGGGTATGAAAACAAGGTGTGAGCTCCTAGCAAAAGCAAGCCAGAAGCAGTCTCCATTAAGAAATCCCCTTCTGGGGGGTCCTGAACATCTTGTAGTCTGTAAAATTTTAATCAGAATAATCATAGTGTCATACTTTGTAGCACAGCTGGGCTTTGCGAACATGAAAGGGGCTTTATGTGACTCTGTGACATCTGTTATTTGAGAAGTTTTCATAAGTTGTATTTTGAAAATCGAACATAAAACGGAAAAGAAAAAAGGCCCACAGGTTACTTTTATGCTGTTTAAGTAAGGATTTTTTTCTATGTTGCTTCTTGTATTTAGGTTTTAATTTTTACTTTTTCTTCCTTATATACTTTACAATATTTAAGTATATATTGAAGTTAAAGGGAAGAAAAAAACCTGTTGCATTCAACAGATTTTGGGTCACAGGGGGCTGGGGATTTAGCTCAGCGGCATAAATGCCTGCCTTGCAAGCAGGCAGTCGTGACTTCGATCCCCGGTACCGATAAAAGGGAAAAAGACAAAAAAAAAAAAAAAAAAAAAGAACCTCCGTGCTGCTCTGGTGAGGAATCAGGATGACAGGAGAGCGCACTGGTTTACGAGGAAACCTTCACATGTTCTGCTCCCGGGGCTGGGGATTTAGCTCAGCGGCATAAGCGCCTGCCTTGCAAGCAGGCAGTCGTAAGTAAGTTCGATCCCTGGTACCGATAAAAATGAAAAACACATGTTCTGCTCCCTTAGCAATAACCCCTCCCAGATCTTCTGTTTCAGATGCAAATGTGCCATCTTTCTCATTCAGTCACTGTTTTAAAACAGCTTTTTGAGATAGGATTCGCATATCATAAGTTTTACCTTTATGTTGTGTACAATTCAGTAGTTTTTAATGTTGTGCAACCATTTGTTGTGCCATCGTCTTCTTATCACTGTAAACAGAAGTGTGAAATTCTTTGCTCCCTGTTTCTCCTTTCCTGGAGCTCCTGGCCTAAGGTAATCTGTTTCCTGTCTGCATAGATTCCTTTACTTTGAACCTTTCTTTCTTTTTTTTTTTTTTTTTTTTTTTTTTTTTTTTTTGTTGTTGTCTTTTTCCTTTTTATCGGTACCAGGGATCGAACTCACGACTGCCTGCTTGCAAGGCAGGCGCTTATGCCGCTGAGCTAAATTCCCAGCCCCTACTTTGAACCTTTCATGCAAAGGCACCATATGGTGTAGGATTCTTTGCATCTGCTTTCTTTCACTGAGCATAATGTTTTCAGTATGTATCCATGTTATAGCATGGATCAAGACCTCATCCCTTTTTAGTGCTGAATAATGTTTCACTGTATCATTGAACAGATACTCACATTTTGTTTATCTATTTATCCCTTGATGGGTCCTTGCGTTGTTTTTCTCCTTAGCTATCATGAATAATGCAGCGATGCGTTCACTTACATGCTTTTGTGTGGACAAATGATTCCAGTTCTCCTTATTTACATCCAGAAGTGAAATTGCGTTATCTTCTCCTTCATTATCTTTTCTCTAATTCTTTTATTCATTATTGAAGGTGGGTATTTATGTCTCCAACTATTATTTGTAGAGCAATTTATTTTTCCCTGTAAGTTTCGCTTCTTGTATTTGGATGGCCTGTCATTAGTTACAAATATTTATAGTTGTATTGTTCTTGCTATATTGAAACTTTTATTGATATGCAATGTCCTTGTCTTTTCTAAACTTTTTTGATTTAAAGTCTGTGTAGTCTGATATGAGGCTGGCCATCTTGCTTTTGTCCACTGAAACTTACATGTAATGTGTTTTTCTGTCATTTCACTTACAATCTATTTGTGTCTTTGGTTAAATTAAGTCTCTTGTTAACAACATACAGCTGAATCATATTTTTTAATTTATTCTGGCAATTTATCTTAGGGAGTTTAATCTATTTATGCTTAAGGTAATTGCTGATAAGTATTTGCTTCTATCATTTTGCTATTTGTTTTTATATGCCTTAGAGTTTCTGCTCTTCATTCCCAATATTTTTCTATTCTTTCAGTTGTATCTGCTTAATTTTTCTGTACTGAAATATTTAGATTCATTTCTCATTTTCTTTGGTGTACATTGTACAACTTCTTTTGTGATTAGCATGGAAATCACATTTAATAAATAGCCTAACTTGTAACACTCTAACTGGAATTTATACCAGCTTGACTTCAATAATGTGCAAAGATAGCTCTGTTTCTGCTCCACCCCTTTGGTTGCTGATGTTACAGGATTAAATCTTCATACATGTGTGACTCAAATCACAAAGTAATGATGCCTTGAAGTGCATTAGTCACTAGCTTTTAGACTAATAATTCTTTCCTAAGGTGTATTAGCCTCTTAAATTATGTAGAAAACCAAATATGCAGTCACACATCATTGCTTTAATGAAACCAATTTTTATAATT